AGTAACGCAATGTGATATCTGTATTAAAACACAGTTGCCTAACAACACCTTGGAGCTACCTAATCTGGTATTTCAAGTTCACCTCAGCTTTTCTAAAGCAAACATGAAAGTAAAAATGGCAGCATTTCCAGCTAATGATATGTGCAGCTATGCAAATATAATCTAGATATGTGCTACAGCTATGCTCATAAGCCAATAATTTTCACAACAGGAGGTCTGTTGATTGCCCTTGACATGGAAAGTATCCTAAATTTTAAGTGTAGCTTTCTTCCTCCTTTATATTCTTGTCAGCTTAATGCAATGGATTATTTTTGACGAAACTAACCTTGTCATATTGTGACATCAATTAAATGTTTTACTTATTCAATGCTATTCAATAGTGAATAATTTTCTGGGTTTGCTTTACTTGTATGTTGGAGGCGCTCTGGAAAAGCATCACTGTAATACAAGATGGGGGGAACACACAAAATGGAGCAGCTAGTATTATAAAACACTACATAACAAGCCATGTAACTAAAACAAGGAAATTATATTCTTACCTGCTTAGATTTTTATCTTATGGTTAACTGCACTTATCATATGCCGTGCCCAGAGCTGTTCTAAAGTCCAATCTGTTTGATCCCTTTTTCCTGCTTTTACTGACAGCAAAGGCTATGCCTGGATTACAATTTCTATTATGCAAAAGACTCACAATAAAACCTGACAACATTTCTCCAAAATGGACTTTCATTATAAGGGAATTCAATCCTCCTGGTCTCACAGCAGATTTTAAACAAAACTGAGCAACTCTGGTACCATTTTCTTAATCAACTAAGTGTAAAAATGAAAATTTTTATGCATAAAAATGAGCAAGATCACCAAGCTCAAAATTCATCAGAACAAGGCAGATGCATCAAAGGTAGGTCGTCCTATGAAATGTGGAAACTCTGGGATAGTAACCACGGTAGTGCTCTGTGGATGCATATGTATAACCTGCTGTAATTTGGTTAACTGGGAATGGCATTTTGTTTACTGTGCATTTGAGAGTCTACTCTTTTACTTTCTGTTGTTAGAAAACTTTTTTCAGGTTTTATAATGCTTGCTTCATGAAGGACAGATGAAGGACAGGAACAAAGGACAAAAGGAATAGCTCCTCCAACATACTCAAATCTATAAAGCATACATCAGAGTTCATTGCCAACGCCAAGATTCCCAGTGCATACACAATAGTCTTAATGGCTTCTTTCAGAAGAGAAAATTTATAGTGCAATCCTCTTCTCCCCTCAAAAATTTAGCCACTCATTCATCCAGTGTGTTCTAGTCTTAAATGGGTAACCAGAAGAAAATGAAGGGACTAAAAAGAAAAAAATAGAAAGTAGAAGGATACACGCCAAAAAAACCCCAACCTCAAAAGAGTGACTTGAGATAGGGTCATAGAACCATAGAATGCTTTGGGTTGGAAGAGACCTTTAGAGGCCATCTAGTCCACACCCCCCCTGCAGAGAGCAGGGACATCTTCAACTGGATCAGGCTGCTCAGAGCCCCCTCCAGCCTGGCCTTGAATGTTTCCAGGGATGGGGCCTCCACTGCCTCTCCGGGTGTTTGAGATAAAATTGTACAGACAAATAAAACCTAAACTTCTTTTTTTAAAGCCTGCATTATGTAATACCCAGTTAAAGGCCACTGTATCAGTGGTGACTGTGCACTTGATTTGTTTTGTGTAAATAACAACTAAAAGCACCCTCACTATTCACTTACATTCTCAAGAAGGCAACAGGAAAAAAAATTCAGCATATGGAGAAGCTAAATATGAAGTTTCCCTACCATTGACCTATGCTAGCCTTAGAACAAGCTAATGTTAAACCATTCACAAAAATAAATACTGAAGTCACACCTTTAAAATAGCACAAACAACATCCAGTATATCTTGTTTGTTACCTAACCACATGGAAGAACTGTGCCAGTTTACATCTCCAAGCAAATTTTCACCAGGAGACAGTGAGTAAAACATAGAAGTTCAAACAAAAATGGAATTACAGAATTTGAAACTATAACCATTCCTATATTTTTCTCCTCCAGTTGTCAACGAAGCTAAAAAAAATACCATGACTTCAGGACACCTCATCTGTAGGAGGCTAAGAATGTAAGATGCTTGAGCAGGACTGCTTCACACCTCCTCGTCTACTGTATTCCCAGCGGTCTTCTGCAACACGGCCTCCCTCTTGCCCTTTACCAAGAAGGGTGCATGCTAGTCCCACTCCCCACAATTACAAGTTCAAACTAGAGAAGGCATGTATCTCACAAACCAGAAAAAAGTTACAGAGTCAGGGCTCTACAACATCCAGCTGCCAATGTCATCACTGACTGCTGGAGTTTGACATGCGCTCATCTCCTATTGTCCAACAAGTGGAATGTGCTTGAACTGCCAGTCGAGACTGTTTGCACAGACAGTATGGGTAATGAGGACACAGAAGAGGTCCAGGATGTAACGCAAATATTTATTAGTTGCTATCAAATCTTTTTTTTTTTTTTTTTGGCTTTAACAATCAGTAGCATATTTGTCCTTAAACTTATACACACAAGAACAACTGTGCAACTGCCTAAGCATATCATCTGCTAACACCCTTTAAACCTGAAAAGTGAGACAGAAGTTTTTTGCTACATCAAGGTCTTCTATCTGCAGCTGTTCCACACAGCAAATTCCCATTTCAGTAAATTGGTGCTCTGTTCCCATAACAGATGCAAAATCAAACTCCCAATGAGAATACACAATGCAGCCTGATTCTAAGAACAAAATATCATTTCTCTCTCTAAGTCTTCATAATTCCGTATTCGACTCTTTTAATTGTAATGGGAATCCCATAACCCTTTCATTCTCAGGGAAAATTACTTTTTTTCTAGTTAGAGGGCAAATACAGTACATCAATATTGTATTTTTCTGTATGTGTACATTCTAGCTGCTATTTCAGAGCATGGTTTTAGGCTACGGATAGAAAAATACCTGCAACCCACTCACTACAGCACTGGCCCTGACTAAAAGGCATATAGTCTGTTACCAAGGTAGAGACACAGCATTTGAAGGTCAAATTAAAAGGTTTCTCTTCATTAATGACATACATATCAGTATCATAAAATGATTCTGAATAAACTGCTGCTTGTCGTGAAAGCATTATAACTAGTTTAATCACCTTGAAAGTTGTAAAATGTGTCTTCTCTTGCTATATCAATTTTTATTGCCTTATACATGTCTTTATGTGTTGCACACTTCAAAGTACTCATTGAAATAAGCAGGTGTTTAATTCCCAGAGAACGTGTCAATACCTGAAACTCGTACAAGCAATGCAAATCTGTTACACACGGGAGCTAACAGATTCACAACTGACACCCGTATTTCCCTGTGGAAGAATTACACAAGAGAAGGTGATGAAAAAAATTTCACTCTTCTGGAAAGAATGAAAACTCAACACTCTGGCTCGTTTAGTTAAGGGGAAAAGCTTGGATGTTCAAGCTTCTAGCTGTTAGTCAGACTGCAGCATTAGAATCACAGCAAATAAACAGGAGTTTGGCAAAGGCAGACAACAGGAAAGATACTGAAAATGAAACAAAACAAAAAAAGACAGCTCTGTTATGTGATACGCTCCTGTAGATATTTAAAAGTTTAATCCATACAGTTTACTAGAACAGCCTGTTCAAAGAAATAAACTAATGAATTTACCAGTCTTAAATATTTGAGTGATTCCCTTGTTAACAGACCATGATACTTCTAAGAAAGACTGAAAATCCCACACCTGCTTTGAGAAAACAGTAAATGGGAAGTTTTACGATAGAACTTGCAAAAGTCATCATTTTTCCACTATTTCCATTTCTAATGTTGAATTTAAGAAGCATGCCATAAGAAAACATAAAATAAAGAGGGGAAATGAATGGTCACTGAAGCATACACAACTGAATGGGAAAAAATTACCAGCATGGTATTAAAAACAAAAATCTTAAGAATATTCTTCTGATATAAGCAGACTCTCATCAATCTTTAAATCCATAAATTTCCGCTTTCAAACGAGGCGCATATGATTTTGTGACTTTTTTCTACTTTCAGTGGGATTTAGCAGCTGAAGTCCCAGACTGTCCAGGAAAGCTTCTGAATATCTCAGGGGCTTTTTATTGTTTATATTAGAGATATCTATACATTTAGATGATCAGTTTAGAGTTTGGGCATATAAGCATGTCTTGGATACACCTTCTGTATGCCAAAAACAGTATCTTAGGAGTAGATTAAAATATGACAAGTTTTCGTTTTGGACCACCTCTGTTTAAAAGGTTGTTTGAATAGTTCAGGATTTTTTTCATTCTCATCTTTAGGAAGATGTTACAGTATTTCTGCTGCATATCACTCTACTACGCTCTACATATCGCTACTACATCCAGCATAATTATATTCGGTGATCTGGTTTTCTTTTCTGATACTCTTTAAAATACATTCAAGATGGTCACAGACATTAACAGAAGTTCAGGAGCATAACATTGTGCAACAGCTATATAGCAGGTTCAGATGGCTGTTACAGTCCATTTTATCTTTCAGTAATTAAGAAACCCTAATTCTTAAAACTACTAACCAAAGAACTCTTCCTCTCTCTCAACGAACACTGCATACAGCTGTAGTCAAAGCTCCACTTTAAGTACTCAAAATAAAGGAATGCTTCTGGTATGTAGAGGAACATACAATTTTTATATGTAAAAACCAAACCCAAATATTAATCCCTACTTGTTTATAAGATTAGAAATAAGGATATGGAATGTTTTTGTTATCTAGGAAAGTAATCAAAATGTTGCTTTTTGTATTTCCACATTTGGGTTTACAAATATTACAGACTAGTTCAAAAACCACCAACTGTGAGGGATGCAATGAAACTGGCAGCAAATTCCACTGCTTCATAACATTTTAAGTCTGAGTGTTTATTTTTTCTAATGCTGTCTCCCTTGGACAGAAGACTTTTTTTGCAACTTCGTTGCAAATGACTTACCGGCAGTGTTTATGCGATCCTGTTAAGGTTTCAATCACAAAGCATTCCCCTTCATTGAGACAGTATGCAAGATCCTTGTCTTTGCATGGCTTAAAGTGCTCAGATCGTTCAGTGGAATACGTTGTAGTATCTATGGAGAAAACAAAAAAGAAATGCTGTAACGCTAAATATGGAATGTTCTTTAAGTAAATCTTAAATAAATTTGACCAGATTGGTCTCAGTATCATCAACTGATCCAGACAGACTAATAAACAGAAAGCAAAAACACAGGGTAAGCAAACTTCAGTATGATTGCAATATTATTTGCAATCAAGCTTCTTCAAAAGATTCACAAAATGAATCTTGTATTTGGAAATATTAGCAGAAAAACAGACTAGACTTTAGCAAGGTTGAGTATAATTTCAACCACTTCCAATTTCCAAAGTATCCCTTCTAAAATGTAAACACACCTATTATGTATTCTTTAACCAAATCAGTATTTTCATATTTATACACTGAAATAAGGTTTTAAATACAATATACAACTTTTTTCATGAAAAATGAGCAAGAGTAGTTAATACAGTAACAACCTTAGAAAAACTCATAAGTCCCACAACAACAAGAGAAAAAAAAAAAGCCAAAAACTGAAGGACAATGTTAATTTGATTCAGCAGTCACAAAAACTGGCCCAGAACTCAAACACAAGCAATGCACCATCAACTGTTTCATTTCAGGCACATCATCTGTAGGTTTCTCTAGGTCCGATCGAACACCCCCGCAACACAGTCCAAAAAATTTATTACAGTTTGGGCTGCTGGCTGTAACTTTGGAATATGTACGTAAATAATGAGATTTGGAATAGGCTGACAGTACATCCGAGTGAGCTATCATTCTTGTGTTCTAATATATCTCTTCACCCTTTCCTATTCAGTTGGATTAATCAACAGCAAAGCAAAATTTTCAGTGGAAGATGTCTGACTGACAGGTATTTTAATTTTCTTCAGCAAGACAAGGATTTTTCTAATGAAGTGTGATTTTCAAAGTAGACAATGATATCCACAGAGCCATGGCTCAATCTTCATATACAATCTTAATTCTCAAAGTTTAAATTTCTACTCAGTTTGTGGGGAGAAGGAACAGAATCTAATGTACTAACATATAACAAAATGATCAGAGAACATTTCATTACATACCAGACTATCACAAAGTATCCTGTTGCCTGCTGTCAGAGGAATGAAGCTGTGCTCAATGCACATGGAACTTTGTAAACTTAAAATTATGTAAACACACTAACTTGCTTTTCGCTTGTAATTCAGTACAAAAAAAATATCAGCCAAGCTAATACCAAAGTTGAAAACCAAAACACTGAAATACAAGATACCTGTAAATACAGTTTTGCAAGAAAATTCAGATAATTCAAAAATCTTTCAGAGTAACTTTTCTCATTCCTAGTGTATTCTAAATACGCTAGCGCTACAAGTTCTCCTTGTCATCCAGATTAAGCGAAGAACAATTAACAAAATACATTTGAAAAGAATAAGAAAATCCACACCCTAATCTTTGTATATAACACTCTTTTTTTTTTTTTTTCCCAGAGAGAAAAAGTTTTATTTCAAAGTTTTTAGTGGAGAGAAAAAAATCCAACTCCAACAGTCTCCTTTCCAATGCTTTCGCAGATTCAGAACGACTGGTCCTGCCACTTCTCCCCACAACAGCAATTACAAAAAGTGTGCAAGCTACACAAAAACTACTATGTTTTTAATGACTGCAAGCAAACCCTGAAGTGAAATGTATCAAATTGAATTTTGGAAACAATACAAGAAGTTTGTAAATGCAAGCAGTGACTAGCACATCACTGTTGACATTTCAGGAATGATCAGGTTTTATATAACAAAAATATCTCCAGGTGGAAAAAAAAATAGCCCAGTTACCTTTTAAGGTCAATTTTACACTTAAATGACTAGATCTATCTCCATCCCTTTTAAATAAGGAAAACTGAAGATAATATTATTTGAAAGCACTTGCAACAACTACTAAAGGTAACTAAAACTGTTTGATGAGCAGCAACTCAACTTGATAGGGCTTTCGAGAACAGAACACTTACATTTGTCAGCCTACTCTGAAGAAACAATCTGTGCACATACCTTTACGAAGGTAGTCGCACTACACAGACCAAAGCAGTCTGAGATTTCCCCAAAGGACAAGAGCAAAACTCAGGAGACGCGCGGTATCACAAAGCAAGTCTTTGAGGTAGCAACATACTGAATTCTCAGAGCACAGTGTTTGAAGTGCAGGACACTCCTACCATAATTAGCTCGAAAATACCTTGTCAAGGTCAGCATTTTAAAGTTTTACATTATATTCTTCTTTACATGATATTATTCAGAGGTTTCTTTCTGTTTTATTTTAATAACTTCTCTGTTCAGTATTACTCAAGATTAAATCAAGCCCACAATAGAAACTTTTGCCAGTTCAGCAGTGTCAGAGCAGAGCAAAGACTGAGCACAGGACATTTTATACTGGCAAAAGTGCCACTGGTGATACAACTCCAGCACAGCTTCATTTCAGAACTAATGGAAATTACACACGGAATTGGACTTCTCTGCTGATATAAACTGCTCACAAACTATTGCCAGCCTTGGCAGCAAGCCAGCCTCCCAAACTGAAGCTTTCGACACTTCCAGAGGAGTGATGGGGTACTCTGCCCATGCAGAGCAATGCCAGGCTGGAGTTAAAACACTCCCCTCAAAGACCTGCGTGTGTTATTTATAAACAGGCTTAAGCTGTGACAGTTCCTTTTCTCTGTTTCGACATGATTTCAAGCTCTCCTTACATTGTTTTGAGTTGTCTCTGGTCTTTCAAATTAAGCACAACAGTTGTAATTAACGACAATGCTGACAGGTTCTTATGACAGCCTCGGAAAGCACTCCTTACATTGAAAAGTACACAATAATTTGTAGCTTATGTTTTTTAAAAATGAATACAGTCTCATTAAAAGTCCATTTAACATTACAGCCTTCTCTGTCTTGGAAACGTTTGTACATGTCTAACAAGGCTGACGCAGGTGGAAACATCTGTGCACTGCTGATCTCTGGTCTGCAACGATCAGCTGTCTCAGCTACAAAGGTCACTCGCTAACATACAAAAGCTGTGTTACTAATTGATATCCCAGGTACCCCTAGAGCGGTTTGGTATTTTCTGCTGGATATACTCACACATAGGATACGGGAGTTTTCTGAAAGGTTACAATCCTGCTGTTATTTCATGTTGCACTCACGATGAAACAAAGACTGTTACAGCTTCATTAAATATTGAAAAAACAAAGTCTAAAAACTTGTTCTAAACTGAACTACAGAAAGAACAAAACAATGGAAAACACTGTAGAGACTATATAGTTTTCTTGATTCCTTTTCCAATAAATTATAAATCCTATTGTCTGATTTGCTTCTCTCCCCCGCTCCTTGTTATTTTGGACTCCTAACCAAGCACCAAACAGACATTTCTATGGTGGAATTGTCCTTCGTAGCTTCAGAAGCCTGGTAAGTATCCACCATTCTATTGTGAGGTTTGATATTTTTTTTTTTTAGTAACTGATAAAACCTAGGCATTCACAAAATTACTAGTACAGCCCATTTATTTATTTCTAATCTTTGAACATGGTAACAGACCCAAACATCTATAAGTAACAAAAGGGAATTTCTGTTATGCATTCAGATGTCCTTGAATTCAGTACGTAAATGCCAATAATCCATAAACCCTTATAGTTGTCTTTCTTATTTTTCTTCTTTTCTTTTTAATTGCCAAGTGTCCAGGTGTTCCATGCAAAAGCAGCAGGGGCTATTGATTATTGCTGGAATCTTTCCAACTAAATTGCAATAAAGAATTTCTAGGCACTTTTATTCTATTTTTCTTGCCTCATTTTATCAGCAAAGCTTTACGTATGATTCCCATACTCCAAAAATGGATATACTGTTGCCAAGCCTCAGATATCACTGTTTAATCAAATGAGCAAGAATTCACTTCTTGTTTCAAAGGAAGACTTTGAGACCTTTTATTTAGAACCACAGAGCTGGTTTAAAAGAATGAAGTCATTTGGGAATGCTGAAAAAAATTCAGTTGGAAGTTTTCAGATGTTACTTTATTTTGTTAAGGTCTAAAGACTGGTCTAAAGCAGTGTTAGTGACTTTGTACTCCTATCTCATTAATCTGTTTCATCACGTTTATACCAGCACAGGATGGCTCATTATAGCTAATTTATTGAATGATCTTCAAGGCATAATACAGATACTATAAATACTATCTCCTCCTTCAAGGCTACCAGATTCACTGTTGCCAGTACTGCGCTCTCATATTAATAAACCTGTAATTGCAAACGACAAATGCAGGAAAAAAAAAGAATGCAAGATCTAAAATAACCTAGCAAAGAGCAGCATTCGTGGCAGCTGTTTCTGCATAGACTGCACCGGCAGCAACCATTCCCACCCATCACATCTGTCTCTGTAGCATTCCGGCTTTAGAAACAGATTTCACTAGATACATCTCAAACAATAAAAGTTTTCTATGCTAGCTTTAAACGATACCCACACTGTATGCACCTCATTGTAAACATTTTTTCCAGATAGACAGCCTCAGCTGCTAGAGAGAGAGTGAAAAACATGACCTAGGGGAACAAGAGATGATCAGACCCTGCTTAACTTTTCTGAAGACACTAGTGGATGGGCATCCAAATTTTGTAGCTACGTAGTAACATTTACTTCTATAACATAGGTATGGCAACCACCGTGTGCATTACGAAGGAGGAATATTTAAGACACTGTATTTGGTTTAATGCCAGTGCTTACACATTGAAAGTCTTCTTAAAAATACTGCCTGTTTTGACTACCATAGGGTATGACCCACTTTACAGATTTAGCATTAATGTGCAAATTAGCTTTTCCTTTATTTTGTTATCCATTTATAACTGATCATTTCTCTGGGAACCACTGACTTGCTCAGGCACCAGAAAAGTGAGATGCTTATTTTAAGTCACTGACCCTGTTTTTAAAAGCACTACAAAGGAGAAAGCCAATGACCAGCAACTGGACTTCCTCTGAAAACGCAACTCCAGTTACCAAAAAAACCTTCTCAAAAAACCTGAACACTTTTTACAATACATTTTTATATCACCATTGTAGTCTATAAAGAAGGTAACACAAAAGGTCATTTAACAGCGTATAGAGAGTTAAATTTTATGTTCAGTGAAGTCAATGGCAAAATATTTACAAAGACTCAGTGTAGGGCTCCCTGCAGTTCTTACAGGATCATATAGTGCTTCTCTCCTGGTATTTTACAACTTTGTTGTACCTTCACTATAAAGGGTCTTGCAAAAATTGAAAATTACACATGGATAGTTTATATATTACTTTGTTTACGCACAATACCCTGAACCTTAAAAAACATACAACCTGAAATTGTTATTCCTGGGCTTTTAGAAGTAAACAAAAGGTGGGTAGGGGGAGAAGATACCAAGCCCTAGCCAGATATTCATTAAGGGAGAAGGAGTGAAAAACTTTAATATTACTTGCAAGTGTTTGTTATGATTGAGCCTCAGTTGTTGATAACATGTTCTTAAGTTGCCAATATTTGCAAAGTAAACCCATTTTTAATATAAAAGCAGAGATCTGCCTTTGTCAGTGCTAACCGAACACTAGTCGGTGTTAGCTGTGGAGACTGCTGGGGTAACTGAATTGAAAAATTCTCGTAATAAATTATGAGCAAAAACCTAAAGATATGTAGAAATTCAAACTTTATTTTTTAAAATAGTAACAGGGTTCTTCTAAACTTACATGAATTATTTGCATGCATTTATCTATGACTAAAACCAAAAGCTTAATGAAAATATGAAAAATATT